CAAAAAATTAAACTCTCCATATTAAAGATTTCCTCTAACATAACGTCAGCATGTGTAGAGAATTTTAATACATAATTTGCAGACATTTGTAACAGATTTATCATACTATATTTTATCATCTCCTTGCCACTCTTTAATTCATCTCAAAAACCTCATCTCTAAGATCTAGATTTCTTTCAGATAAATTTTACCAGTACCATGATCACAGTAAAGACATTAGATGGGGGAGGAAGAAAAAAAAAATAATTTCAAAATGTGTCCTTCACTGACTGCTATCAAATTCCTGGTTGTGTAAAGCAATTTTGTAACTGTCTCATATAAATACTAGATATAAACTAAATTTTAAAAATCTATATAAACACTTGCACTAACTGCATGGGTCTTGAACAAAAGTTAAGAGAAAAACTGAATGCAGAATATCAACACCTGATAAGCACCTTCATACATACAACCATGTTTGACGAGGAAGGACTCTTTACCCCCAAGCCACTCCTTGTACTTTTAATTGAAGCAGATGGGCAAAAGTAGGACTGCTCCTTCAACACCTGTTGCTGGCAATAAGTTGTAACTCAAAAATACCTGAATACCAAAAATGTAACTGTGTCCACAAGGCTCAAAAGCCTTTCATCACTGGATGCCTGCTATAGTCATGTGAGAACTGGAACAAAGGCATTTCTCCCTTTTCACTAATTAATCAGCTATCACGTGAGAGCAGAAATTTCACTATTTCCTGGTTATCAGTCTATCAAGCAAGTAACAATGACCAAGTTGGCTAGTCCTCTCCATGCATTCATTAGCACTCTAGTCTTCAAGAAATACCAAAACACACAAAATTCTGTATTTCTTACAGAAGATTCTAACCTGGATACAGTGCTTAGAACAATTAATTTACCAAGAACAAGAATATTTGCCAAGTTTTCTAATTAAAAAAAAAGTTTGCGTGAAGAGAAACAATGTCTCTCTTCTCTAAAGAAAATCTGATTTTTTTTACTTTCCATGAACTAGATTTTTGTAGTTAAAAGCTTTATAAAACTCTACCTAAACACGTTGCAAAAAATTTAAAACATAGTGGACCAACTTGTGGATCCTGATTAAATACTTCAGCCTCCCAAAGGAGCTAACTTGTCCTTTGTTCCTTTATTAGAAAAATAAAGTATTAAAAATATCATCAGTTAGCTACTTCGTTGTACACACATGCATTCATTCAGCTACAACTTAAACCATTATTCTTTAATTTTTTATGTAAAAATTCCTAAGGGCTGTGGCAATTCTAAACATGCCAACCGTGATCACTATCTGGACAACAGAAAGATATAATTAAAACTGTTCCTAAACTAAGTAGCCAAAAAATATAAATATACTATATAGTTCTAGTTTTTCCTCCACAAAATTTTTTTCTGCACCCACTCCAAAACTAAATTTTTTGTATATTGTTATTATCAAATGAAATGATAATTATTCAATATTTGTGCTGTACTTAGAATCCAATTTCAAAACCAGTCATCTCTTCTATCTACCTGGATATTTCCACTGGAGGTGAAGAAAAGTTGCCCTTTCACAAGCAATCCGCTTCTTTCTAGTTGTTATAAAGTCTTCCTCATACCGAGATGAGACTTGCCCAGCTGTTTAAGACTTCCCTAGTGGTCCTTCCACAATTCTTCGAAAACTTTCTACTGCTATCTAATCAGGCAGGATGGACTTCGATCTTTCTCACTCCAAGAGATTCTTCTATAAATAAGGTTGTAAGGCTGAAATGGCAACTACTTGGTCAAAAAAGCTCTAGTCACCACTTTTAAAGCCCTAATTTCGAAACAACATTTCCATGTGATAGCTGGGAACTGAACCATACTTTCATCTACTTCTCATGCTAAATTAAAAGGAAAAAAATAGAAATAAGATGAATTTAAATACATACAGATTAAGGTAAAATTCAATCAGATGGTACCTGCAAATGAATTTCGTCTTAGAGGAATAAATGTATAACTTGCAAGTACAACAAAAGTAGATACATTATCATCAGTAAAACCAAACTGAGAAAAAGTATTGGACCTTCTATGTGACTCATTAGAACAATTATTTACATACGAACTCATTCTGTGTACTACACTTGTAACTTTTAAATGAGGGCTCTCAGAAATTATTTTGCTACAACACACTAGGTTATCCAGATGCTTTGAAAGATTCAATACTCAAATTTATATAAAATCTTTCTATGTTCTATTTTAAGGCAGTAACCTACTGCTGTCAATCAGTTCTGTCTCTTAGTGATTATATAGGACAAAAAAGAACTTTCCCATAGGGTTTCAAAGTTGGAGCAGCTAGTGAATTCTACTCATCAATCTTGGGTTGGGTGCTGAATGCTTAATGTTTAGCATGATCATCACGACTCCTTAAAGAAACAGTAAGAGTTAAAGGCAGGGAAAACCCAAAACAATGGGGTGGGGTTGGGGGGGGCAAGATAGCCCTCTTTTTATTAGACCAGAAATGCTCTTAGGGTTTATGGAGTACCACTGAAAAACTACTCTGGAAGGTTAAGAAAGAACTGGAAAAACTACAGTTTAATTTCCATGTGTCTTAAAATAGTATTTCCTCAATTCCAAAACTCATATATGATTTTGAGGGAGGGAAGAAATTGCCCACCATTTAAGAGTCACATTTTAAGAGGTGACTGCTGAGAATCCTAGTCTGAAAAACTTGCAACATAAAACAAGCATTACAATAGCCTTCCTTATGGTACACCACTGCAGATTAAACTGAGACAGACCCGTAAAACTCAAACTCATTTATAGCTGATCCTTAAGGGAGTTTTTTGGAGGCTGTAAATCAAGAGATTACTAATCTTTATCCTAGAGTTGCTGGTGGATTTGACCATTAGTGCCACCTATGGGTCAGTAGTGCAAACTGCCTATGCAGCTGGCCACCTTTCCTAGGACCTGCTCAAGGTATGTAAACTCATCAAGGCTTTTAAAAAAACTATGGTTCCCTTGTTCATTCATCCACCTAGGTGTGGGCCCTAATTTAAAACTCAAATTTCCTAAACTATAAGCAAACAAGTATTCAAAATCAGAAAATCTTTGTTTTTACTATATTCACAGCAACTGAAAGGAACACTTACAATTTTTTAATACTGTTTCATTTTATTTAGGTCAAGGATCTCAGTATAATTTTCCATTAAAGTTCTATCTACTGCCATAAACCCACCTCCTCTTCCCAAGAGGAGGCGCTACCTTGATTATCTGCTTTCTAAGATTTCCACCCCCACCCCCACTGCCTCTTTGCCAGGATTTCAAGAAGGTATTCAATTATTTTAACTGCACTGCTTGGTTTATGTGTATAGCCTGAAAAATATATGCTGCACAGAGATTGAAAATCCTGTTGTTACAGAATACAGTTAATGGTAAAACAAAGTATATTTAACCTGTAGCCAATGTGCTTACTTAACAGCTAAACAAAAAAGAAAAGGGGGGGGAGTGTGTTTCCACTTCAAAACTTTTTGATGTGGAAGCAGTAAATACTAGAATGTCGATTTTACTACAAGAAAAAGTTTATAGAATAAGCAAATATTATGCCTAAGAGCTATTAAATGACTACCTCTTAGTAACAAGGAGTCCAAATTAGTAACAAATGCCAAAAACAGATTCTAAAAGGTGTCCTTAAAATCAGAAGGGAACGGTTTAAACCACTTCAGTCAGTGTTCACTATTTAATAAAGTGCAAAAATGTCCCTGCTCTTATTCCACTCAAGAATTTTAGTAATAAGGGAGAATGGATTAGGGTGAGAGGGTGTAAAACTCAAAAAAGCTAAACAATACCATTTTAGTTCTTCCAAACTCAGAATGTTTGGAGACACTACGGAATGCTCAGTGAGATTCTCTGGAGTTAATTAAGAGCTCTAGTCTACAGTGTAGGGCAAGGTACAGAAGAGATCTTTCCCTCTACTTGTTTCTGGTCCCTAACTGCTACTTCCATAACAACCATCCCCCTCCCCAGTACAGTATAGACAATAAGCCCTGGTAGAGGTTCAACATAACTTTTTAACAACTACTCTTCAAAGCTGCCCCCAAACCAGATTCAAACATTTAAAAAACGTGAACTCTTCTAGCACTGCAGCACTGTATGCTCCCCAGATTCAGACGAAGGGCAGTAACTCTTACACCTGGAAGGGGAGGGAAAAAGAAAAGGGAGAAAAAAACAAATACAACATACATACACCACACTCTACATTACCGAATTCAGGGAAGAATAGGGATTTCAGCGGCGACGGCTTGAGGACCACCTGACCCAGAACAGAGGACGACGAGCTGCCTCCGGGCCGCGCGGGGGCCCGTCCTTGGCCACACCATCACCTGCCGGGAACAGGCTGCAGGTCCGCTTACCATCCCTCCAAACCTGGAATCCCTACCTCAACAGCTCGCAAAAGCTGGGGGGGGGGGAGAAACACGCTTCTTCCGAAGGCGCAAAAAAGGTCACAACGCGGATGAATGAAATTGGGCTAAGGGCACTCGGAGCAGGATTAACGCTGAAGTCAGAAAAAGAGAAGTCAAAGAATGTTTAACGTGAGATCGGTTATGTGTTACCAGTGTAGAGAAAACGTCAGACAGGCTGTTGAGGAAGGTTTTATTGAACGCGGACGGTTCCCGGAAAGCAGGCGGGCGCGAGCGGCGGAGGCGGGCGGCGGAGCGGGGACGGAGCGGGCGGCGGCGGTGCCGGCGACAAGGCAGCTTCACGACGGCGGGAACGGGGCCGGAGCCAGGCTGGGCGCTCGCGCTTGTCCTCCCGCGGACCTTGCAGGGACTCCCG